GACTTTCTCCTTCTGTTGTTTATTACACTAAGGTGTGTAATAAAAAAATTACCACTCACTAATTCCTCGCGTTTACAGGAAGCATGCAGTTGATTGAAAGCGATGGTTTCGTATACCCCATCACGTGGTGCATTGTCTCATGCCCCCCGTGACCCAACGTGCTACAAAAAATTGCTTTTTTCGGACCAAAAATATTCTCAGTTGTCATTCAGAGGGTAGTCCAATTTTCTGGTACTTTAGTTGAGGGCTTCTCAGTTGGTAAAATGATAGAGTAATAATCTCTCCACGACAATAGGCCTCCGCTTCGCTTTACCCGGTGCCATACGGTTATATTCTGGTGGGAACTAAGGGCTTTGGTTGAGAACAATGGTTGCTCTGCCTAGTGGTTATTCGCACCAGCAGTACCCATCCATCAAACTCCAATCACTACGCACGCGAAAGAACTCTATACTGTATCGGTAGTCGAGCAGGGTAATCAGAACCGTGCTGCCCATCGAGCGGGGTGGGTGGTGCTAAGTGGATTACTGCTCAGACATCCCAAGCTTCGTTCATTTATTTGTCTTCCGTACCCAACCCTCTACCTTTGTTTATCCCTTTTGATTCATTAATTTCCATCAGATGGCTTGTTTGTCACTCGCTGAAATCCGGCACTCAATAGCGTAAGTACTGTGTCACGAAATATATTTCATATTCTAAAGCCTCATCAACCTTTGGTGGTTAACAGCTTCTCTATCATCTAGTACATTGCAATACCTATCTGCTTGTGATCTCATTTTGCTCGTTACTCCAATTGTTAATACTTGGGTTGCCAATTGTGGTGAGTAAACAGTACGTCGTCGTCAATTTTTGTTTTGCCGCTTCCGTTTTTCACCGCTCAAGGGCTGATAGTAAAGAAATCCATTTCATGTGGTGTTGATGCGTTGGTACACATGAGGTGGACAAATTATGACTAATGTCTAAGCATTCCTAGTTTACTTAAATGCTTGACTCGCGATCAGTCACACTCAAGGACTGAGGACGCTAAAGGAACACCGTGTTAGGCTATGCGGGTTTCGGGTGATTTGTTGATAAATGACAGGTTTACATGTTGTTGCTTCAGGAAATCACTGTGCGTTCATTCAGCGACAGTTTCAAATGCATCTGTCATTGGAGTACTCGACTGTCATTTTCCTCTGTCTTACAGATCTCCATTTATCCCGATCTATGGTGTCTTGAAAATGGATTATTTTTATCGGATACCAGTGTTTTGAACCTCTTTTTTTACGTTATTTCGTGATGAAAGCTGTACGTTCTAATGAAGAATTTCAGTTTCATTTTAAACGGATATCTCCAACCCTCGGTTACACTGATCCCGAGGTCCGCATCCGGATAGCTTAAGACGGCCTATGTGACCGAGTCCTCTTGTCAGGGTTTTCATTACCAGGTCTTAGTTTGATCATCCTTGGCCTGGCTTGGAAAACATCGCATCCCGTGGCAATCTCTGTGCTAGTGCACTTGGGTAAAAGTTATAGCGCGCCATCGAGTAATAGTATAAAGGGAACGTCATATTAAAACCAAATTCTGGCACACTTGAAAGAAGAGCGTCAGAGTACAGTGCAGTCGACTGAATCGAAGACTGCTTTTAGATAAATGAAGATCAAATGGTGGGTCTACGGACGACATGTTCAACGAAATATCATTGACGCAGTCTCAACTAGATCTAAAACCAACCTGGTTCGCACTCACGCGCCGTTCACGTAAAACAGTCAATCGGTGGAGGATTATACAAGTGAGAAGGTTAGATGAGATGTTGATTAAACTAATTCCTCTATAGTTCTGGCAAATCAGTAAAATGGCCGTCATATCTTTCATTTAGAACCTATTTATTTTCCCGTATTGAACCCCAAGGGTTTCGTTAGCTCCAAAACCAAGGCTGAATCTCTTCCTGAAAACCGATGGAGATAACTCATCCAGTTCTACCTTTTGAGATAGTCGATATCAACTGACAGTAGTTGCTAAGTTGATTCGAACATTAGCAAGTTTGATCGCAATGGCGACCAGTTGAGTTAAGCATTAAACTATTTAATCCATCTTTTAAGGTGTTCCTCAATGAATTCGTTTGCCGTTGGGTTCGTTAATCAGTTCACTTACGCTTTCACCCTTCCCCATAACCCGTAACCTATTAATCCACGGAGAAGAATTGGGCGGGGGGGGGGAAGACCAGATGGTGTTTCCAGCAATCTTTTAGGAAAGGAACAATATGGAGCCGAGCTTTTTTCCACAAAATGAAGTGCATTGACAATTTGATCTGTGGAAAATAACCAAACTGCTCAAGACTTTTTAGGACCATTCATTTCTGATGTATTCATTTAAGATAAGGAATCAATATCTGCTGCATATAGATTTGGATTATTTGTGTTGTCCATTTATTTGACATCAATTCAACTTTATAGGGCTTAGTCCACTAATAAGTTGGTATTGGTTTAGAGATTTGGAGTTTGGCATGTCGCCGTCAAACGTCTGTTGCAATTTTCCTGCTCGGAATGCCACTGAAAACGATTAATTCTGTTCGCACATTTCATATGATTTGCACCATATTTAGTAAGTGGTACCTGAGGTTAAGGAAAGAAGTTAACTTTCCCTTTCACACTGAATATTTCGTACATTGGAGGCTGCGGCCACGTAGGCGTACCGAGCTGAAAATAGTTGGATTTCTGTCGAACTACCCTCTTCCGCCTTTAATGATGGACGTCCTCGATTAACCATAAAATAAAAAGCGAGTCTAATTTTTTCTGTTTCTTTTTTGTGTATATGCATTAATAGTGGCAGGACAGGTGTCTGAGGACGTGGCGACCGCTCTCTCGACAAGCAATGCTTGCAACATTAAGCCACAAACATCCACAAAAGATATTGGCAGGAGTAACTATCCGGGCCGCCATCAATGAAAGTCATCGCACTCATCCTCTTGTCCTACCAGTAGCATTTGACTGTGCAAAAGCTAGAGATCAATCCTCAAGGAAAAAGACAGATGCTGCCGTCGCTTCTTTTCATTATATTCCTGAAAACTTCTGATGGATTCTTTCACAAAGCCGACTTCGCCTCGTACAGGAGCAGGTTACCTAGCTGCTAAACAGTATTTTTTCGTTCTGATTTCGGCGATTGATACTGCTGTTCAATAAAGAAAGTCGCAGACAATGCGAAAATTGGATAAACAATAACAAATGGATCGATACCCTTGTCCTATTGTTCATAACGCGATCATGCTTCGCATTCTGCCAGCTCACCTTTTTATCACCTAATCTCAATTACTCGCTCTGTTTAATATAAATTGTACAAATGCTTATTTCTCTCAGGTTTGCCCAAACTGGTTGCCGGCTTCGGCGATAATCGTGCCTATGCTTTATGCACATTCGCATTTTGTGAGGGTCCGGACCAACCAGTCCATTTGTTTGTCGGACGTACGGATGGTCAAATAGTGACACCCCGGGGCCCGCGCAACTTTGGCTGGGATCCAGTATTTCAACCGGACGGACATCAGTTGACGTACGCTGAGATGGAAAAGTCTGTGAAAAACACTATTTCGCATCGGTTCAAGGCATTGAGCAAGTTGAAACAGTTTTTAGACACGGAATACAAGGGCTGAAGAGATTGGAATGTCTTTCATACTTCCTGTGCTGTTAGGCTTTCCTCACCTCACCCCGTTTCACTCTAGCTGCAACTGGAGGCTTACCATTCACTTCATGTTGCTTATGCGGATCTTGTCTTTTACGCAACAACCACCCTTCCCAGTTGACTTGAACAGTCTGACGATAATTTCGGCTTTTTTTTAGTGTTATCAGAATTATTTTCGGGGATGGGCGGTTCAGTAGCAAACATCGTTTGCACTATACATGACAAAATGCACTATCTGGGTATTTTTCAATAAAACGTGAAATTCTCTCTTCTGTTTTTCCCCAGTACGGACTTTACACACGGTTCACATTAGGCTTGCACGTTACGTAGATGGGTCGAAAACTGCAGGCGCGTTGTCATCTTGAGTGAAATGGGTGTGCGTATTCTCCTCCAGGTCGTGGGTGCTAAAGTGCTGTTATTGGCTACGGAATGATAGCCATTTGTTGCCAGACGACGGAAAAACCCTAATGGTATAAGCACGAGCACTACAGGCTCTTTATGATGGAAACTGACATTTGACATTGCAAACAGGCAAACAGTCATATGAAACTTTTCGTGCTATTCAAATTATATAACACCTTTCAAATGATATTTCTACAATGTTCCGCCCAGTTACAGCTTCACTAACAAAAACCGGTCGGGACCAGTCAGGGAAATCAAAATGCACTAGGGCTGCTGATCACTTTTCAGCACACATACAGACCTAAACACGTGACGCATCAAGAAGCTGAAGTTGAACTGCGAACAGCGCTATTGGATTCGTCTAGAATACGTCTGGATTACGCAAACTGAAATTTAATAAATTTTGCACTGAACTAGTGTAATTGGCTAGACGCCTGGTCACTCAGGCGTATCCGAAAGGCTAATTGATTGATTAGAACCACAGAGGGAAAAACACTGAACCGAGAGCAGCACACAGACCTCAGCCACCGTAATCCATATACGTTGAACATGTGCGTTAGTGCGCGGTCGCGATTGTCTACGACCTCGTCTAACCTCGATGTTGCTTGCCCGGTTGCCTCACCTTGTGCTATGCGGTATGCAGCGTTCGAACATCTGAGGTCTGCTGTCCTCACGTACTGATCCTGTCTCTGCCCCATTATATAGCTGCACCTGTCGAACTACTGCAGCATAAACTTGATCCTTCACAAACCACCGGAGGTCGCGGTGGCGCTAGAGATCTATAGTTGGTTGGCCTCAATCAATCTCATACATCCAGTTCCCTTTAGTAATTTCAGAAGAGCAAGAACGAGCATCGTCACAGGACAGGTTGAATTCAACTGTTTCACGTTATCCCTTCAGCTGTGTACAAACATTCATGTGAAAGTTCAATCAGGACAATGACAATCTTTAAACATCAAAAACACTCGACTACGCAAAATCAGTGCGAAGGTCAAAGGTCACCAATCACAGTCAGGTTGAACAGAGGGATCAATCTGTCTGCGTGCATGCTGACACTTCATCGGAAAAGTTCGCCCCAGGTGAAATAAGACGGCACAAGTGGTAATATTTGTCTATTTTCTCGGTTAGGGGGAGAGTGGAACAAATCCCGGTACCTAATGGTATTTTACACGTTGGAGGCTGCAGTATACACACCGATCACATAGGAGGACTTACAAATTACCGGGATTAGCGGTCTGTATGCACAGTTGGACTGTACCTTGACCATGGTGATTCACTCTTATCTCTTTCTTCAATGAGTTCCATTATCTTATTCATGTGTCTGCTTGGTGCCGGCAGTGATCAGCGAAGGTTGTTCCGTTGTATTCCGCGTACAACAATGATGCAGTGGAGAAAAGGCGCGAAAAACCAGAAGTTGAGCTGCCGGTTTATTATTCTGTCCAAGCGTGTCTATATGCACGTGGTCTATAATAATCAATAAGAAAAATAGGTCACGGGGAATCACCCCTCCAATCCCAGTCCAGTTCATATTGTGTTTGATCAGAAGCAGGAAATTGAATAGCGTTATTATTGACGAGCGAGCTCCGTGATAGACATAAACAGCTGACCAGTGTGAATTTTGAGTTCACTCTGACTCTAAATGGGTTGTAATCACTGTGGTATAGCGCTTTTCTCCGAACCGCCTCAACAGTTATGTTAAAATTGCCAGAGAATCCACCAGATTCATAACGTTGAACGGTTCATCGACAACGCTATCACTGAAGAGAAATTCGTTCATCTGTAGTGTATATTCCTCTGTAATATCACTGTGTCATTATTTTTGGTGAAGTACATTTCACTACTCAGTGATCGAGTCAAGTAACTTGTGACCGTAACTCTACAAGCAGCCATTTTTTGTGCATGACTACCACCGAATCGTGACCTGGGAGATGTATCTCCAAAGATTCCAGTCCAAGGGCAATTGCGATCAGTGGAAGCGCCAGAGAAAAGTATGTTCTAGAGGGAAACCGCGCTATATGTATAGGGTTGCGCACAGTCCAAATTTCTACGGAATGTAAATTACGAGTGCGGTTGGAAACAATGGACAAATCACATTGTCGTATTTGTCTGTAACCCTGGATCTCACGGATCCACCATTCCTATCAGGAAAACACCGGCACTTTCCCACGATTGCGATTGGCCCAAATCCACTTCAGGTTAATACTGTGAATGTTCTGACGGGAAGTTAGGTTTCATCTGACAGGTTTGGACCGCTGACGAGAGCCTTAACCAGGGAAAAAGTACTGCAAAGTGGTTTCCCTTTTTCCAACTCACTTTTCCTATCATATACGAATAAGCCAGCTGTGTACAGTCAATCCCGTGCTATATCACACCCCTCGGGATTTCGAAAAGTTGGGTAACTTCCTGGAACTGCGACAACATGTTAGTCAGTAGTAGATGCTAATGAGTAGTATAAAAACCGGTGACAAAATAAACCGGATCGATGAAAAGTAAATTAATTCCGTTACTTGTTCCCAATGTTTATAATTATGCACTGTTTATTTATAACGGAATTTAGATCTACCGTCCTTCGTATCCTTCATATATCGCAGAAATTTAAATCTTTTATGATGCCCTCAGCTTAATGGCGGTACACTGCATGCGGTATTCAGCCCTTTTTCTGTTCTAGGTGTCTACTTCAAGTGGACACGATATGATAACTGCTAGACAAGAATGAATAAAACAAGTGTGAAAATGTGAGAAAAAGACAGTAGATGAGGACATGGGAAAATGTAAAAGGTGTCACATAGGGCAATCACTCTTATGGCCCTGGGAACAGCAAAGTTTCCACTCCGTTCTAACTGATATAACAGAACCTAATGACCTGTTCGTGCCATACCCGGTGATTCACTAGGCTGGAGATATTATTGAGAAGACCTTTCAGCTGCGATTCATTTACCTTTGTATTCGATTAAACTGTGTCGGATGGCAATGGGTGATCACAACTCAGGTCAATTCACACACTTCCTGAATCGTCTATGTATTTAGTGCGGAAAGCCGACCGCTCCATTTTGAACTTTAGCTGTTCGTTAAAAACAACTCACAGTTGCCAACCATTGCAAGATGGACTAAACGAACAATGACCAAACAGATTTGGTTTGACTGAACACATCAAGTTTGAGTTTTCGGTAATCGTGCGAACAAATCAGTCGTCTCAATCCGCTAAAATAAAAACGGGCAAGTTTATCTGTGAAAAAATACACTATTTTCTACAAACTGAGCTTGTTCAGAGCGGAATGAATATAATCCGGAAGACCCCAGTGACTATAGAGAAGTTGAGTAATCACGTAGTGTCGACACAACCGCCCAGCTCAGTTCAGAGTAGAAAAATATCACTGTTTTCCATCTTTATGATAGGTAGCTCGTTGACACAATCTTTCGTGGTACCACACATACGGGAAATATACTGCAAAGTGGCATCCGCGCTGCCTCTGAACCTTTTCTCTTATTCGTCATTCAGTTTTAAGACAACCGTGGGTAGAATATTTTACCGACCTCTACTTAATACCCCATGGAGCACCCGGTACAGAATTATCATCACTTGTGGGATCATGGATAACTGTAACTCATTCATATCACCACCTGTCTCTTTCACTAAACTATAAAAATCGCACAAGTATGACCAGTGAATAAAAAGATGGAACGGGTTGAACAATGGTGTAATAAAGATAAGAACCTATGCGGTGAAGCTGAAAAGCCGCAGGTAACAGATTATTGCTATTGGCGTTGTGGATTGAATGTATTAATTAACCAGGCAATGACAGAAAAAATGTGATTTCCGTTAGCTAGTGAGTAGGTTCCTACTATTCAAGTGAAATACTGTTATTTCTTTCGCCATTGTTAAGTTTATTAGCAAGTGTGTATTTCAATGTCAGAAATAAGTTAGCAATCGCACTTGATTCAAAGGAATCTGTTTTGTTCGAGAGACACTCGATCTCAATGGAATTTACCCATTGGATTATTGAGGACTTAGACCAACTCCACTCATGCAATGAATCATGCTCACATTCAAGTCTAGGTATGGTGACCGATTTATCGATCCATCTTGACGTGATTCGCTTCCTTACCCGACTGGCAGAGGTCAATTAACTCTGGGTTCGTTCATTCGTATCTATGATCAACGATCACGATGACCTTTGGCAAGTGACCTGTCTAATTTCATCGGTGCTCTAGTACAATTGAGAATATCGTTCACTNTTCACTCCACCCACCCGCTTACCAGTCAATCGCAATTATCGTTCACCCGTTTGCACGTTAGTGCTACAGAGCCCATCAGTAGACCGACTTACCATGGCTTTGGTGACCACTGTAGCAAAAATGACCACATTCGAGTGCCCCGCATTTCAGTTCAGTGCCCCACAGAATAGCAAGAAAAGCTTCTCAGATTAGAAAGATGTATTTTTAGCAAAATCAGAAATCGTCGTTTGTCTCAGCTTGGCTCTCCTTTGGAAATCAACAAACGCGCTGGCTAAATCAAT